AAGGGTGTGAAAATCTCTCCCTAAAAGACGCGTTTTAAAGTCATGAGACTGACAATGATAGATAACGAGCTAAAGCAGACAATATTTGCTAGCGGTGGGCTTTGACTGTTACAATTCTCGACTAAAGTAGGTACTTTTTCTGGTTTTTTTTTTTGTTTTTTTTTTGTTTTCCTATGCAGATGAGTATGATCATCAACGAATGCCTGAGGCTGTATCCTCCAGCAATGACAATATCACGCCAAGTGCAGAAGGAAACCAGATTGGGGAGCTTGGTGCTTCCAAGTCAAATTCGGGTGACGATACCGACGGTTGCAGTCCAACACAACACCGAGTTATGGGGAGAAGATGCCGATGTTTTCAAACCAGAAAGATTTGCAGATGGGGTCGGGAAAGCCACCGAAACAAACTCGGGTGCGTATCTCCCGTTCGGGTTGGGGCCTAGAAGCTGCATCGGGATGAACTTTGCATTGAACGAAGCCAAAATAGCATTGTCCATGATTCTACAACGATTTTCCTTCACCCTTTCACCTTCCTACTCTCACTCCCCTATTCAGTTTCTTACCATTAATCCCCAGCATGGAGTTCAGCTCATTCTCCATCCAGTTTCACATCTCGAACGTGATATGAACCAAGACATCTCAATTATATAATATTAATGTCACGTTAAGAAGAATCAAGCTTTGTTTCTACAGCAAAGTCTTCAAAATACTATGAGTAGAATTCCATTTATTCTTAGATGATCCTAAATTAAATAGGTTTAGAGTTATGATCTTTTATTGATGTATTTTAAGACTTTTATTTACTTTAAAATTATATTTACATTAATGGTTAATCATAATTCTAAAGAATACACAATTGTTAATTATGGTCATAAAGTATGAAAGTTATGCTCATGGAAGGTTAATGGTTTTTATTTCGAGACGGTATAAAATTATGTATGTTATCTTTGTAAGGTAGACTTGAAAATGCACTAAAAGGAGCACTTTTGTTTTTGTTTAACCAATGGCTAAGTTTCTTGTAATTCCATGTCGTTTAAATCGAATGTTTAGAATCATTCAAGCTTGACATGATTAACCTTGCGTGTGGAGTGATTCAAATCTCAATCCAGTATTCTTGCCTTGAGATATTTGATCTGTTAGGATCGCACAACAACGCACACACTCGATCTAGATGAACACAAAGAACAAGATAGAGAAAATGCAAGGAGAACTCTGGCTAAAGGATTTATATTGATGACTACAAGTATGTAGAGTAAGAGAGAATACAGAGAATACAAAAAGTATATTTTCAAAGCTCTGCGATATATATATATATATGGTTTAGCTTACTATATATAGCTTTACTAGATATAACCATCTAATATATATAACTATTACCATATATAGTTTTACCAGATATAGTTTTTTACTATACATAGCAATTTACTATTTATGACATTTTATCATTTACCAAATATAGTTTTACAATGTATAACTGTTGACTAAGCTATAAATAAGCAGCATGCTCCATAACCTAACAATTCTCCCACTTGGAGACCGATCTAGTCAACCAAGAATTTCATTCTCAAACGACCATGAGCATCTTCATGGCACCATACCAATTGAGGCTTTGCACGACCTCAATATTCCAACATCAACACATTTCGTTAACATGTTTGCTGGATTCTTTGCACCCTCTATCTTCTCCAAACACATCACCATCTTTCACTAACCTACAAGTGAAATGGTATCGTCTTTGTGTTTTATCTTTAAATGATAGGCCGGGTTCCTCACCAACTGTATGACACACTGACTATCTCTATAAAGAATCTCTTCGTGCTGCTTCTTGCCTAATTCTTCCAGATAGTCAGTCATCCATATCGTCTTCTTTCCAACTTCAGCTATTGCCACGTACTTAACCTCAGTACAACGCATTTTTGAAGCCTAGACGTTCCATCATCTGCTTGCTCCCACTTGATTGTATCCTCCAACTGTAGGGCCTCATCAAAGGGCTCTGGTTCTCCCTTTCATCAGCAACAGATAGTGTAATGAAGGTACATACATATCTGGTACTCTGATAGTACTGGATGATCTTCTCAACACTAGTTCAGGTGTTACTTGCTCTACTGCTGGTTCCTCTACAACAACCTCAGGAGTTTGTTGAGTATCTGCTTTTTCTCCACAACTCAACCTCAACTCTCACTTGCTTCGTTGTCTTGGAACCTTGCTCCACATCTGGTTCCTCAGCAGTAGCCTCAGGAGTTTCATGAGTATCTGCTACAACATCAGTATGTGAGTTTTCCTACAACTCAAGCTCAACTCCCACTTGCTTCGTTGTCTTCGAACCTTGCTCCACATCTGGTTCCATTTCCAACCGCACTTTTTTCAATTCTTTGGCAGTACTTGTGAAGCTAACTCGCTTCTGCTTGCTCATAACGTAGTTCTCACAACGACCCACATCAACAGATTTCAGACCTTCTAAAACTCCTTTCGCAGCTAGCCTCTTCATTCCTTTCACGCTCATATGTTCAAGTCTATTGTGCCAGAGACTTGAATTTGAAGCACTCTCAGCAACAGCAGCTATGTTCATACACCCTGCAATGGTGTATAAGGTTCAAGATTTTGAGTCACGTGCTACCACTGTAGCACCCTTCATAATCTTCCACGAACTCTTCCCTAACTTTGTTGCATAACTTGTACTGTCCAACTGACCAACAGAAATCAAGTTCTTCTTGAGGCCAGGAATATATCTGACATCCTTTAATGTCCACTGATTTCCTACCGAAATTTTTATGTAGACATCTCCTTTTCCTTTAATCTCTAAATCTTTGTTGTCGGCAAGACACCTTCTCGAAATTTCCAGACTTGAAATTCCAAAACAACTCTTTATTTGGAGACAAATGAAAAGATGCACTTAAATGCAACCTCCAAAATTCCAACACATTACGTTTGGTCTATTTGAAGATTTTTCTCGGTTCCTTGATTTTGATCGCCCTTTGTTTGGGTCCTTCGGTTTACTTCTTCCCCATTGGTCAACACTGAGAGCACTACTAGATGAATTTTCAATTTCTCGTTTGCGAATACTTTCGCTGAGAACTACATCTCGAATTTCATCAAACTTTAGTTTATCAGATCCTCAGGAACTGTTGATTGCGGCAACAATAGTATCCCACGACTTGGGTAAAGATAACATCAAAATCAACGTTTTAATTTCATCCTCAAAATTAATTTCCACCGAACTCAATTGACCTACGATCATATTGAATCCGTTTATATGATCAACAACAGATCCACCTTCAGACATCTATATATTGAACAATCTTCGCATTAAATACACCTTGTTCATAGCTAACGATTTTCGTACATATTCGACAACGCCTTCATCAAATTTGACGTTGTCTTCTCCTTGATGATGTTAAACGCCACGTTTCTGGATAGCGTGGTCATGGTATTCGGTATCACCCCCAACAGGGGTTTGTGAAGACCTTTCTGATACAGATAATCTTCAATCTGCATTTTCCAGAAATCGAAATCGGATCCATCGAACTTCTCAATTCCAATCTTTGAACTTTCTATCCTCACAAATCGTGGTGACTTCCACCTAGCTCTGGTACCAATTGTTACAATCGCACAACAACGCACACACTCAATCTAAATGAATACAACGAACAGGATAAAGAAAATGCAAGGAGAACTCTAGCTAAAGAATTTATATTGATGACTCCAAGTATATAGAGTAGGAGAGAATACAGAGAATACATTTTCAAAGCTCTGTCTAAGTGGATATATATACGGTTTAGCTTATATAGCTCTACCAAATATAACCATCTACTATATATAACTATCTACCATATATAACTTTACCAGATATAGCTTTTTACTATATATAACTATCTACCATATATATAGTTTTACCAAATATAACTTTTTACTATACATAGCAATTTACTATTTATGACATTTTACTTTATATGTCATTTACCAAATATAGTTTTATTGTGTATGAACGTTGACTAGAGCCTCTCAAAGTAATTCAAGCAGGCTCCATAACCTAACATGATCAACAAAGTAATTCAAATTTTAGTATATCTTGGAGTGATTCCTTATCAGTAGGACTAAATGTCCTAGAACACTATGATCAATGGAGATCAAATTTAATCCAAATGCCTCTTTTTTTTTTTTTTGTTACTCCTACTCGATAAGTGTGAAAAAGATTAAAAAACCCGAGCTTCCTCTTGATTTTACAACCTCTTGCTTCTATATATTCGTTCTAGGGAGATCCCATGTCCTATTTCAATTCACATATTCATTCTAGAGAGGTCCCATGTCCTATTTCAATCCATATATTCGTTCTAGGGAGGTCTCGTGTCTTATTTCAATCTGTATATTTGTTCTAGGGAAGTCTCATGTCCTATTTCAAGCCATCAAAAAAAAAAAAGTCGACTTTGTATCTCTTCCCCAAGACTTGCTTGTTCTATATAGAGTGCCTCGTGGTTCCTCGAGTGCCAACTGTAGATCGACATACCATCAACTAGGACGTTGTAGGACACTAACTACTCGCTCGTATGAATGATGAGATTTCATCGATATAAAGTCAATTCCAATAGAGTACTAACACATATGCGAGCTTTTTATGTCTACTCTATTCGGTTTCTTGATTCCAAAACGAACTCCACCACATCTTTCTCATGTCGTTTCTCCTTAAAACTATCTTCCCCCACTGAATCCTTCTAGATAGGATTATTTGTCTGATGGTCCTAAAATACTTCGATATTTTAAAATTAAAAGTGAAATAAATATTTAGGTAATTATAAATAAGTGATTTGGGCAATGAGGTTTCAATGATTTGTCCTATTCATAAATAAGTGTACAATCAATAGCTTGATTCCCAAGTTATGATTTTGGTTTTATCATCAATAATTACTAAATATTCCATTTTTTTTGTTTGTAATTATTAGTAAACTAATGCTGCACCTAAAGGCTATGCTGTTTTAAGGAGCACAAAACAGAGCACCAGGAACTCAAAGAAACGCAACAATGGAGGATGTTATGAGCAATACGATCTCTGTGTTCTTAATTGCAAGTGTTGTTCTTGGGATCTTCAAGCTTCTTGACAAGCTATGGTGGACTCCGATCAAGATCCAACGGTTCATGAGGTCGCAGGGGATTCAAGGGCCTTCTTACAACTTCATCCAAGGCAACACCAGAGAGATGTACTCCAAAAGAATGATTGCCATGGCCTCCCCCATCGACCTTTCGCATCGGATTCTCCCTCGGGTTCTTCCTCATACGCACTCGTGGCTCAACGATTACGGTATGGAACCTTGGTTTTCTTCGGTTTTAAACATGTTTGAGAATGATTTTGAGTACTGATAAAGTTGAGGAAACAGGGAGGAACTTTGTTCAGTGGTTTGGAACAGATGCTCATCTGGTCATTACAGAGCCTGAGATGATCAAGGAGGTGCTTAATGATCGACAGAAGAACTTCCCCAAAGCCAAACTCCAAGGCCATGTTCATAGAATTTTTGGAAATGGACTTGTCACTGCCCAGGGTGAACGATGGGTCAAGTCTCGAAAAATAGCTCATTTTGCTTTTCATGGTGACAATCTCAAGGTAAGTAAGTTGTTTTTTTTTGTCTAAGTCTATGGCTAGTAATTATTATTCTTTTTTGGGTTATTTCCTTCTAGATTTTCCTTCCAAGTTTTAAAATGTGTGTTTGCTAGGGAGAGGCTTTCACACCATTACAATGAGTGTTTCTTTAGAGAATGTTTCATTCTCGCTAGCACTCGTTCCCTTCTCCAATTGATGTGGGCCCCTCAATCCATCCCTTTTGGGACCCAGCGTCCTTACTAGCACACCGTCTCGTGTCCACTCTCTTCGGTGCTCAGCCTCCTTGTTAGCACACCGCCTCGTGTCCACCCTCCTTTGGGGCTCAACCTCCTCGCTGGCACACTGCCTCGTGTCCACCTCCCTTCGAGGCCCAGCGTCCTTGCTGGCACACCGCCTCATGTCTACCCACTTCGGTGCTCAACCTCCTTGCTAGCACACTGCCTCGTATCCACACCCTTTGGGGCCTAACATCCTTGCTGGCACACCGCCTCATATCCACCCCCTTTGGGGTCCAACGTCCTTGCTGGCACACCGTCTCATGTCTGCCCCCCTTCAGGACCAGCGTCCTTGCTGACACACCGCCTCGTGTCCACCCTCTTCAGTGCTCAGCCTCCTCGTTGGCACACCGCCTCGTGTCCACCCCCCTACGAGGCTCAGCGTCTTTGCTGGCACACCGCCTCGTGTCTACCCCCTTCGGTATTCAGCCTCCTCGTTGGCACATGCCTCATGTCCACCCTCCTTTGGGGCTTAGCCTCCTCACTGGCACATCGCCACGTGTTTGCCTCCCTTCAGGGCCCAGCATCCTTGCTGACACACTGCCTCCTGTATACCCCCTTCAGTGCTCAACCTCCTCGTTTGCACACCGCCTCGTGTCCACCCCCCCACGAGGCTCAGCGTCTTTGCTGGCACACCGCATCGTGTCTACCCCCTTCGGTGTTCAGCCTCCTTGTTGGCACACGCCTCATGTCCACCCCCCCTTTGGGGCTTAGCCTCCTCACTGGCACATCGCCGCGTGTTTGCCTCCTTTCAGGGCCCAGAATCCTTGCTGACACACCCCGCCTCCTATCCACCCCCTTCAGTGCTCAGCCTCCTCGTTGACACACCGCCTCATGTCCACCCCCCCCCCCCCCCNCCCCCCCACGAGGCTCAGCGTCTTTGCTGGCACACTGCCTCGTGTCTACCCCCTTCGGTGTTCAGCCTCCTCGTTGGCACACGCCTCATGTCCACCCCCTTTAGGGCTCAACCTCCTCACTGGCACATCGCCGCGTGTTTGCCCCCCTTTAGGGCCCAGCATTCTTGCTGACACACCACCTCCTATCCACCCCCTTCAGGGCTCAACCTCCTCGTTAGCACACCGTCTCGTGTCCACCCCCTTTGGGTCTCAGCCTTCTCGCTAGCACATTAGGTGTCTGGCTCTGATATCATTTATAACGGCCCAAGGCCACCACTAGCCAATATTCTTTTCCTTTTTTTTTTTTTTTTTGTCTTTCTCTTCTAGGTTCCTCTCAAGGTTTTATAACGGCTAGGAAGAAGTTTTTATAAAAAAATGTTTTGTTCCCCTCCCAACTGATGTAGGCTCTCACCCACCATTAGAGTTCAAAATTTTAGCTAGATTTTCGATCCAGAAGTTCAGAGATTATAAGCTATAATTGGGCTGTGTGTTAATTTTCAGAACATGATCCCCTCAATGATAGAGTGTGCAGAGACAATGGTTGAAGAGTGGAAGCATCATGTAGACAAAGAGCTCGATGTTTTCGAACATTTTAAGGTTTACACATTGGATGTCATTTCTCATACAGCTTTTGGAAGCAGTTATGAACAAGGAAGGAGTTTCTTCCAAATGCTGCAGAGAGTCTGCGATCTATCAGTTAGTAATGGATATAAAGTTCGTCTCCCGATAATCAGGTACTTAATCACCGTCACGTCGTTTCAGGTCAACACCACGTCGACTTTCTAACTGCTAACGATATATTTGCTTGTTGGGATGCAGTAAGATATTCAAATTGAAAGACGATGTTGAAGGAGAGCGACTCGAAAAGAAAATGAGAGAATGCTTCATAGAGATCATAAGGACAAGAGAAGAGAAGTGCATGAATGGGGAAGTAGAAGGGTATGGGAATGACTTCTTGGGATTGCTGGTGAAGGCGAAGAACGTGCCTGAGATGGCACAGAGGTTGTCTGTGGATGATATTGTGGATGAGTGTAAGACGTTTTACTTTGCTGGGCATGAGTCCACCAATGCGTTGCTGGCTTGGACTACGTTTCTGTTGGCGTTGCATAAGGAATGGCAAGAGGAAGCAAGAAAGGAAGTCTTCAAGGTTCTTGGTGACAAGAATCCAACAATGGAAAGCCTCCCCAAATTAAGAACGGTAAGAACATTAACATCACTCCGCAAAAGAGTGCTCTCCCTCTTTCGTTCTTGGGAGATCCTACGTCGGTTGGAGAGGAGAACGAAACATTCCTTGTAAGGGTGTGGAAACCTCTCCCTAAAAGACGCGTTTTAAAACTATGAGGCTGACAGTGATACGTAACGGGCCAAAACGAATGATATCTGCTAGTGGTGGGCTTAGGTTATTACAAATGGTATCAGAACCAGACACCGAGCGGTGTGCCAGCGAGGACGTTAGGCCCCCAAGGGAGGTGGATTGTGAGATCCCGAATTGGTTGGAGAAGAAAACGAAACATTCCTTATAAGGGTATGGAAACCTCTCCCTAGAAGACATGTTTTGAAACAGTGAGACTGACGGTGATATGTAACGGGCTAAAGCGGACAATATCTGCTAGTGGTGGGATTGGGTTGTTATAAAAGATATCAGAGCCAGACACCGAGCAGTGTGCCATCGAGGATGCTGGCCCCCTAAGGATGTAGATTGTGAGATCTCATATTGGTTGGAGGGGAGAACAAAACATTCCTTGTAAGGGTATGGAAACCTCTCCCTAAAAGACACGTTTTAAAGCCGTGAGGCTGACAATGATAGATAACAGGCTAAAGCAGACAATATGTGCTAGCGATGGACTTTGGCTGTTACAATTCTCAACTAAAGTAGGTACTTTTTCTTGTTTTGTTTTATTTTGTTTTCCTATGCAGATGAGTATGATCATCAACGAATGCCTGAGGCTGTATCCTCCAGCAATGACAATATCACGCCAAGTGCAGAAGGAAACCAGATTGGGGAGCTTGGTGCTTCCGAGTCGAATTCAGGTGACGATACCGACGCTTGCAGTCCAACACAACACCGAGTTATGGGGAGAAGATGCAGATGTTTTCAAACCAGAAAGATTTGCAGAAGGGGTCGGGAAAGCCACCGAAACGAACTCAGGTGCATATCTCCCGTTCGGGTTGGGGCCTAGAAGCTGCGTCGGGATGAACTTTGCATTGAACGAAGCCAAAATAGCAATGTCCATGATTCTACAACAATTTTCCTTCACCCTTTCACCTTCCTACGCTCACTCCCCAATTCAGTTTCTTATTATTAATCCCCAGCATGGAGTTCAGCTCATTCTCCATCAAGTTGATATGAATTAAGACATCTCAATCCTAAATATTAATGTCACGTTAAGAAGAATCAAGCTTTGTTTATACAACAAAGGCTTCAATATACTATGAGTAGACCTTTAGATGATTAGAAATTAAATATGGATGATATTTTATTAATGTATTTTAAGACTTTTATTTACTTAAAAGTTATATTTACTTGAGTGGTTAATTATAGTCCTAAAGAATACACCCTGGCTAATTATGTTCATAAAGTATGAAAGTTATACTCATGGAAGGTTAATGGTTTTTATTTTGAGACTGTATAAAGCTATGTATGTTATCTTTGTAAGGTAGACTTGAAAAATGCACTGAAAGGAGCAATTTTGTATTTGTTTAGCAAATGGCCAAGTTTCTTGTAATTCCATGTCGTTTAGATGTAATGTTTAGAATCATTCAAGCTTGACATGATCAACCTTGCTTGTGGAGTCATTCAAATCTCAATCAGTGTTCTTACCTTGAAATATTTGATCAACAAAGTAATTCAAATTTTACTTTCTCTTAGAGTGGTTCCTTATCCGTAGGGCTAAGTGTTCTAGAACACTTTCCCTTTAGCCAATGACTAAGTTTCTTTGTAATTCTATATAGTTTAGATTGCATGTTCAGAATCATTCAAGCTAGACATGATCAATCTTACTTGTGAGTGATTCAAATCTCAAACAGGTTCTCTTGCCTCGAGATATTCGATCAACAAGATAATCTGAATCTTACTTCCCTTGTAGTAATTCCTTATCATTCGGTACTAGAGCTTACGATACCAAGTTGGAGTTAACTCCTTTTTTGGGTTAAATGTTCACATCTACTTAGCAGATTTCAAGTAAACTTAAGAGGCCAAGTGATCTGAATGTACAATGGGTATGAGGTAGAGAACTTGTAAGTGGGCTCAAGAATATGATCTAACCAATCCAAAATTCACTAAAGATCTTGACTTAAACAGACCACCAAACAGGAACCTACTTGGAGAGTCTTGTGAATCAGATTTCCCTTCATCAGGGCTGCCTTTCACCTTCAATATGGATTGACCAATCACTTGCCTTATCGAATCTATCGTCTTTGAATCGATGGGATAACCCGACGCATCGCGCACGTAAAATGTATTGATTGCATTGCCTCCTTCCGTTCTCACTTCGGCTCGACTCACACTCAAGCTATTCTCTCTGAAGATGCGTGTGACATCAGAGAGTAGCCCAACTCTATCAGTAGTGCATAGCTCAAGCTTCAATCCCTGAATGTGGATCAACATCATTAGAGAAGTATTTGAACACAGTTATCGGGTTTTGAGGCTGAACATCATTAGAGAAGTATTCGAACACGGTTATTGAGTTTCGGGGCTGAACATCATTAGACAAGTATTCGAACACGGTTATTGGATTTCGGGGCTGAACATCATTAGAGAAGTATTTGAACACGGGACTGAACATCATTAGAGAAGTATTCGAACATGGTTATTGGGTTTCAGGGCTGAGCATCATTAGAGAAGTATTCGAACACGATTATTGGGTTTCAGGGCTGAACATCATTAGACAAATATTCGAACACGGTTAGTGGGTTTCGGGGTTGAACATCATTAGACAAGTATTCGAACACAGTCATCGGGTTTCGGGGCTGAACATCATTAGACAAGTATTCGGTTTTGGGGCTGACCATCATTAGAGAAGTATTCGAACACGGTTATTGGGTTTCAGGGCTGAACATCATTAGACAAGTATTTGAACATGGTTATTGGGTTTCGGGGCTGAACATCATTAGACAAGTACTCGAACACGGTTATTGGGTTTCGGGGCTAAACATCATTAGAGAAGTATTCGAACACGGTTATTAGGTTCCAAAGCTAAACATCATTAGAGAAGTATTCGAACACGGTTATCGGGTTTCAGGGCTGTTTCGGAGCAAGCAACAAGCATAGAAATCCTAAAATCGAATAGCAAAAGAGCTACTAACCTCGGATACTCGTCTTTCAATGGCAGCTCCAAGACATTGTATCAACCTTTGTCTCTCAGCTTCTGAATTCACAGGAGATCCATCTATGTGCCTAATATAATATTCCTGCAGATCCATCCTACCACTGTCAAGAAACTTCGATTCGAGACTCGTAAAGAACACGAACAAAGGCATTTAGAGAGCGTCAAAATCGATTACCTGATAAGCCTCTGGCCCTTCAGCATCAACATTGGCATGGAAAACAACATATTGCATGTCAGTCAATGTACAAACTGTATCAAACAGAAGTTTTGGTCTATCTTTGCATTGAATGGTGACCACTGAATAATCTTTGTCAAACAAATTGACAACATTCACATTTGGCTTCTGCTTTCCATTGAACGTTTCGTCATCCGCTCGCTCGTAATCTCGATCCGCAAACATCATCTGGTGAAGTCTTCTCTCAGTATGGATAGCCTCATGAGAGAACACAGTCTTAGCTCCCCTACACTTGTTGCTGCCTTTAAGCACATTGCAAAGCAATTTCTTGATTGTGGACAATCTCTCCAAGTCTGTCACTGCCGAACCAGTGACCGACGCTTCCTCGTCCCTCACGTGCATCACTGCAGCAACTCGAGTGTTATGTGTCCACACCTCAGCCCTTTCTACACTACATTTAAGATGAGTAAGAACAGCAGTTACTTCAGAAAGAAGTCCAGGTCGATCACAGCCAACGAGCTCAATTACAGTATGATCTGTAGAAGATTCGACACCTACAGATCTCATGGAAGATGAACAACACGAATCGGGACCGAGCGACTGTCGATTGAAGCAAACGAAAGTACTCGAATTAAACCAGTTCATAAACAAATCAAATCAAAACAAATCAAAGCAACCACTTACTGATCGTATGTAATCTAAAATCCCTTCATCCATAACCTTGTTCCCATTTTGATCCGTGACATTAAAAACTGTTGCAGAATTCATATAAAGGATCATATTAGAACACTTCCACATAAGGTGTTTTTGGATTTGATTAGAGAATCATACCATCCATGAACCAGTTCCCATCAGAAGAAATGTAAGCTTTAGTTATGATAAGATTAAGATCAGTCAAGACTTGAACAACTTCAAGAAGTATGCCATGTTTATTAGCACTATCCACCTTCATAAACAGGAAATGCATAAGGAAACAGAGCCACAAATTTCTTAAAAACAGAGCAAAAAAAGTTGTACCCGAACAACCGTGGCGTTCTTGCAGGATTTGTTATCGATTACGACTCTAAACAATTGTTCAAAGTTAGAACAGAGCATAAAAAGCTAGAGATTAAGATGAACAGCAATGAAAGGGCTGAAGATTTGAATACCTGGGTGGGTTCATTCGCTTGATGAACTTCTGATATTCATCGCCCATATCGTTTGAAAAGCTCATGTTCATCTCTGCCATGGGAAACAAAGAAGACCCAGAAGAAAACTGAGTCATATTTCAATTTCAAAGATGCAAAATGAACTTTAAGAAACCCAGAAAAGCTGCAAATCAAGGATCAAAACCCAGAAACGGAAAATTCACGTAATTACCAAAATAAACAAATAAAAGGAGCAGAATCAGCGACCTAGAAAAGCAAAACTTCCATAAACGAAGAAAGAACAAAGAAACGAAAGTAGAGAAGAAAAACCAGAGAGAGCGCAGAAACAGAGCACATTTCTGGGATATTGAAATGGATTAAGCTTTTTTCATGGAAGAGTAAGTGAAATCTTGGAAGAAGAGAGGACCCATTCGGCAGAGATGAGTGAATTCTTGTTCAATCGCCGCCATTTTTGGGGCGTGGAGTTTCCAATTTCAGAATCAACACACGTATTGGGAGAGCGGGAGGCGGAGGGTTTTTTCTATTGTGCGCCGGAGGGGAGGGGCGGCGCTCCGGCGAGGCGCTGCAGAAATAATGACGTGGAAAGGAGCACACGTGTCAGCGTTTGGGTCTTTTAACCGTTTTTCTCCGTGGTTTGTGGAGCCAACTGTTGGATTAACTTAATTATTATTGTTTAGATTTAAAGTGTATTCAATTAGTGAATTATGATTTTATTAAATATATAATTAGTTATTGAAATAAAAGAAAAATAATTATTTTTTAGAGTTAAAAGGGTTTAAATATTTAGTTTAAAATTTTAAAACCAAAATGAAATTAATTTTTTAATTTCAATTAGGAAAATACAAATAAGAAGTTCCATATAATACAATAATAATATAATAATATAATAAAAGTGGGGACAAATGAGAAATTTACAGCGTGTAGTCTAGCTGGAGCGGATTGGATTACAGTCAGATCAACTCCCACTGACCCCCACAAGCGCGTGTCTTCCACTCTCGGCCGCCTTAATATTTATTTTCCTATTTTACCCACGAAATATTAATATTAAATTACTACTGTCTATTTTCTCAATAATAATTAAACAAATAATTATTAAATGTTTACTAATCATAATTAAATAAGTAATATTATGAAATTAAAATATTGGAAGGTCACTCATCTATGGTCAACATACATGAAATCAACTTCTGACGTTGTCCATTATATTTTCGATCCAAAAATATAATCAAAACATAATTACCCATTTGCCCATCAGGTCGGGATTAAAATATATTACCTCAACGAAATAATCAGAGGTTTAAATCTAAATTCTTACTTGATCATATCGAAAAAACAAAGAAGAGAAACTGTTTGACTGAAGTAGTTTTGCGTGTAGTTGTTAGAGCCTTACCTTTCCCCGAAGATGTTGATTTTACAGAAGCTCTAGCACGAAAAGGAGGTTCGGGGTTTGCTCGTATGGAACTCGAGATGGACTCCCTTCATGTTTTGAAGCTTGAGAGAGTTTTGAAGGTGGCTTCAACTTTGTGAGGAAAATTGGGAGATTTATGGATGAGGGAAGAAGGGGTTTTGAAAGTGGGCTCTCTGTACCTTCCACAAGTGCAATTTTATCTCATCATTTTTACTTTATTAAATAAATGGATTTTTTTCACCTTTTTTATAAATTAAAAAAAAGAAGAATATTCATAAATTATTTATTATTATTTAATATTTATTCCTCTCTTTGCCTTTTTATCTTTTAATAATATTTGGAAGTAAGTGGCATTGATTATTGCATGGTGCACGCTCACAATTTCATTATTAATTTTTTTTTAAATTTTTAAAGTGATTTTATTTCATTTTAATTTTAAAAAATAATTATACTTAATCAATTAAATTATATGTATTAGTAAAAAAAAAGTTTTATTATTTTATGAAGAAAAAAAAAAGGACGGTAATAAATAGCTGGAAAAAATTTCGTACACAGTCAGTGTAAGAGGGAGAGTGGGGTCCACGCGATTAAATGAGGTACAATTAGGCCACGTTCGCTTCGACCCTCTAGCACGAGGTAGTGGTCCCTCGAGTGGGCCCCCACGCCCTCCCCTTTCTTCTTGCAACTTGCACCTCCACAGCTGAGCTGGCAGTCCTCTACCCAGGCCCCACAATAAGAGGAAAATAAAAAAAAATTAACTGCGGGTTCAGTGTAAGCTCCGTAAGGGTGTCCGTACATTATGCATTTTCCTGAAATAAGTCCGACATGCGTACTCAGATTCCTCGGACGGTTTTAAGTTTAGGTTAAGGTTCGTATCACTTTTTCTTTTTTTCTTTTTTTTCTTTTTTCTTTTTTTTTTAATTTTTCATTCCATGTGTCCAACTTATTTCTTTTTTTATTTTTTAATTTTAAAAAGTGTTTAATATATTCAATTTTAATTTTGTTTAATTAATTTATGGCCGGCTAGAAAATTAAGTGCTTAATAGGGTTATAATTTTTTTAAAATATTTTGAATAGGTTAAGTGTGATGTCCCACATGGGTTGGGGAGGAGAACAAACCACCATTTATAAGGGGTGGAAACATTCCCTTAGCCTTGAGGGAAAGTCCAAAAGTGAAAGCCTGAAGAGAACAATATCTGCCAGCGGTGAATCTGGGTCCTTACATTAAGGATCGGCTAGACATAAAAGTCTTCATATGACTCAAGAATCCGACCAACCTAGACTACCCATAGGAGTGTTTAGGTAGTTCGCTGGCTCATATATTTTTGGTCGAGTCAACTCGACGAATCTGAAAATAAAATTACAACTCAACTCTACCCTACTTTTAAGATTGTCTTGAAAATCAAGAATATTTGACGTTTGTAATCGATGTTAGTGATGCATCATGATTTATGAATATTCGATATTTAAATTTTATGAGATTTTAATTATTAATATAAGCAACTAATAGTTATGTTTTTTAAAATAATTTTAAAAACCCCACTAACCCAGCCGAACCCAATTGAAGATTGGATTGAGTTGGGTTGTGAACTTTATTCAAGTTGTTCGAGAGTACCAACTCAACTGTATAAACTCTTAGTTAGACTAAAAATTTATTAAACATGGTTTATGAACTTATTTGATATAAAACTAAAAATTCAAAAATTTATTAAATATTTTTTAAAGTTTATATACGAAATAAATCTAATATTCAAATATTAAATTTATAAGGTATGGTATAAAATCATGATAGGATAGAATAAAGTCCTAACATTTATATACAAATATGATTGGTATTTTACATGATAAATTATCAAAGTAATATAAAAAATATCCTAAAATATATATTATTATTTTTAAATAAATCCAAAAATTAGGTAGTAAGAAATAAATAGTGTAAAAAAAAAATTAAAAAAGCAAGAAAAAAAAAAGTGAGTATTGTTGAGTATTGGTCCCAATCCCAATCATAATCTGTTCTTATCCTTTCATTTCCCTATCACCATTGTACCAGCTAGTACCTCTTCAAATGTTCCTCTCCCTTCAATTATTTTAATATCGTGACCCGAATCTAGAAAATCGATAACGACGTGATTAAATTGTATTTAAATTCGCTAACTATTGAAATAGTAAGTTGTGTTAGATAGATCGTCGATGATTCTGACGTGCTCGAGATACTTTAAGTCATCGAAGACTAATCGGCCACTCACGTGAGACAACGATATAAAATTGTAACAATCCAAGCCCATTACTAACAAATATTGTCTGCTTTGGCCCGTTATTTATCGCCGTCGGCCTAACAATTCTAAAACCCGTTTGTTAGGGAGAGATTTTCACACTCTTATAAAAAAATATTATGTTCTCCTCTCTAACCGAGATCTCACAAAAAGACACACATCCAAAATGGCGGAAAAGTACCTCGAGATTCATGGTATACTGTTAGATAGTGTCGTGTTGAACTTTTTCTCCGTGCTCTTACAATAGTATAATAATTGTTACAAGGCTTGATCCCTTTTTTTCTTTCTTTTTTTGCCAAAAAAAAGCATATCGTGAACATGTTATTCTTACATTTGTACTACGAACGGATACCCTCTTTCATTTATGAGGATATCATTTTACTACTTTATACAGTAAATTTTGCTACTTTTTACTCAACACCAGACATTCTTTTCAGTAGTTCAGTCTCATGACGTTTATCTTCATTCGTTGGATGTTCGAATGGGGTTGTCACGCAAAAATCCGAAATTTGAGATTTTCTCTTCTTACCGGGCTTTCAAAGCGGCTAAGGAGTTCGAAAGAAGGTTCGTTCCAGGAAGGGTTTCATGAAGTAGCGAAGGGAATAGAGGTTCAGCTTCTCATTCGAGTACCAGGCGCTACGGCGTTGAAGTAACCCATGTCATACTCCCAGAAAAAGCTCGAACGACCTTCAACAAAAGGGTACCTGTTGCAGGTCAAAAAAATTAAACACGAGTTACAAATGTTTCGATTTTTTCATCACAAAACCTCGAACTTAATAAAACTATAAGTTAAAATATCTCGAGAATTTTCAACGTCATTTTCGGGAAAAAAAAAATCAAAATTCTAATTATTTTCCTTAAAAAAAACACATTTTCATAAATATTGAACATTATCCATAATGGGAGGTTTAATTTGGCTTTTAAGCAAAGCCAAATTTTAATTAATTATAATAATGGTGATGGGAAAAGGCAGAGATTTTTTATTTTATTAATTAAAAAAATTATTTTTTAAAAAGGGATCATAATTCCATCACGTGTGTTACAATTCCTATTTATTTTTATTTTTATTTTTATTTTATTTTCTTCACATCTACGCATGCCTAGATTTCTTCAAAAATGATTATGAAATTATTATTTTTAAATATTAATTAGTATAATAATTTCATGTTTAGTGGGATTATTTAAAAATTATTTTTATTGATTAAGTTTCCTTCGGTTTTGGAATGTAATTGATTTCTTTTTATAATCATTACAAATCATTATAACCTATGTTTCTAAAACTTATATATTAAGGAATTATGTTATAATACTTCAATATTATTATTAAAAAAAAACACTTGAAAATACTTTACTTTATATTTTGATATTAATTTATATAAACATTTGTAGTTTTCTAAAATAAGGTTATTGGGCCAACCCACCATGGTCTCATGAGATCAAATCGATGGTGTCGGTGTAAGCTCACTCCTAATAGATATTGTGTTCTGTGTGCTTCTATTGGGGACAGGTTTCGACATGGAATGTTTCGTTCCCCTCTCCAACTAATATGAGATCTCACAATCCACCTCTTTTTGGGGCCCAATGTTCTCGTTGGCACATGGCCTAGTGTCTAGCTCTAATACCATTTGTAATAGAGCTCAAACTCACCATTAGCTGACATTGTTTTCTTTGGACTTTCCCTTTCGAGCTTCTTTCCTAGTTTCGTTATATTTGGGCTGGATTGGGTTGGGACATTTTTAAACACAGTTGTCAATTTTCAATCGAAACTACTCTTCTTAAATAATGAAGGGGAAGTCCGAAAGGGAAAGCCCAAGGAGGACAATATCTGCTAGCGGTGAATTTGGGCCGTTACAAATGGTATCAGAGTCAGACACGGGACGATGTGCCAGCCTTCTCGTTGTTCCCCGAAGGAAAGTAAACACAAGGTGGTGTGCCAATAAATACGCTAGGCCCTGAAGGGGGTGGATTTGATGGCGGTCCCACATTGATTGGAAGAAGGAAAGAGTTCTAGCGAGACGCAGGCCCCAAAAGGGGGTGGATTATGATGTCCCACATTAGTTGGGAAGGAGAACAAAACACAATTTATAAGAGTGGAGAAACCTTCGGCATACGCGTTTTAAACCCTTGAAAGAAAGCCCAAAAATGACTGCTAGCGGTGGATCTGGGCCGTTACAAATGTCGAACTCAATCCGACTATAAATTTTTTGACTTGGGTAAAACATTTATTCGAATTTTTGTTTTTTAAAACATTTATTTGCTTATTTTCAAATATTTAATTAAAATTTACGACTATACATACGAAAATTATTTAATATCATAATAACGTTCTACGACCGTTCTAACTCATAAAGCTGGATCGATCTAAAGATATTCGAGATTTTTTTGCTAAATTTTATTTTTTTATTCCCATTTGATTCTAATTTGATGAGTGTGAGTAAAATCCCAAGTAAGAACAACACTTCCATCCATTCTTTTAAGCACAAACCTTTCAACCAAAGCATAACACCCAAATCTCCTCCATACTCCCAACCCTTCAAACGCCTCTCTTCTCACAACTCTCTCCACCTCCTCATGTCCTCCCCATTTAAACCCACCTCTCTCCTCCTCCCACTTCACCCTCTCCACCACCGCCGTGCTCACCCCCACCTCCCTCTCACCAAACCACACAACCCCGCCGTCAACCACCACTCTCTCCGCCGCCACCCCACCAACAAAAACCCCCTGCCTCTTCACATAAACATCCACCTCCACCCCATTCCCAACCAACCCTCCTTCGTTGTAGCATCCAAACACCTCTTCCCAATGCTGTTCCAGCGTCATTTCATAATACGGCGAGCTTCTCATCTGATCACCAACCTCTCCTTCTCGAATGAAGATGAATGGGCA